AACACGATAAGAGCAGGAGTCCTTGACAAAGATTCTCTACTTCTACCCGATGGCAGAGAACTCCAGAAGGCACGAGGGACTTGCCTTATATGTCCCGAAGCTGACTTACCTCATCGACCGTTTGCTTCACATCACAACCCGAGCGCTCCAGCGTACGCACCACTCGAAAAAGTCTACAGCGACATCCTCTACAATCGCGAACCAGGACAAGTCAACTACAACTACACCATCACCTTCATCGACGCCGCCACTCGATACGTCTGGCATCGCAACCTACCCAGCCGCGACATGGCGCTCGCAGCATTCGCCGCCTGGCTACCGATAGCAGAGAGAGAGTCTGGAACACAACTGAAAATTTTCCAGTCAGACGGAGGTGGCGAGTACACCTCTCACCGCTTCAAGCAGTTCTTGGCGGAAAGGGGGATCAAGCAACTCCTCTCCCTTCCCTACGCACATCAGCAGCAAGGTGTTGCAGAACGACTGAACAGGACCCTGCAGAACAGCATGCGCAAACTGTTACGTGGCATGCGGCTACCCAACCACCAGTGGCCAGCAGCAATGGACCACGCTGTCATGCTACACAACTTGTTGTCGTCGTCGTCACTCCCGAACAACGCATCACCGCATCTGCTGTGGACAGGGAAGCAAGGCAGCACGAAAATGTTACGAGTTTTCGGGTGCATGGTACAGTACAGACCCCCAGAAGCACGAGCGGGAAGATTTTCGCAACGGGCACAGTGGGGACTACACCTCGGCATCGAGAAAAATTACAACGCATGGAGAATCTTCGACGTCCACACAAAGGAAACAGTAGCAGCACGTGACGTGATCTTCTACGAAAGACTCACCCTTCAGACGTACCTCGCCAACTTGCACGAGAATCGGGACCTCACCAGTGGTTTTCGTGGTGACAGAGCCTTCGCGTCAGCAGCGGATGAAGCAGACTGGGACGAGCAGAATGTTGACAACGCATCGGCAGAAGCCGGACCTCTCCCGTACTGCTCCGTCAACGTGCCCATGGACGAAGAAAATCCTCGCGACAGTAACAACGCCGAAGTCTTCTACCACTTCGCCGATACCGGTTACGTAACACCTGCAACCGTCAACACAAATGAAGCAGAAAGGATAGGACCGAATTTCATCCCTGATCCAGAAGCGGGAGACGAAGCAGCTTATCCCGAGGATCCAGAACTCCCTCGATACTCACAGACTGGGCTGCAAATCCTCGGCCTCGTCACCGCAGTCCACGGGAACACACGCAGCTCGCTTCCTAAGGAGCCTGCAACGGTTCAGCAGGCTCTGGGGGGGGAACACAGGGAGAAATGGCGTGAAGCCATGGATAGAGAACTGAAGGCATTAGAGGAACGCAACACTTGGAAGGTTGTTCCCGTAAGCGTGGCACGGAACAAAACCATCCTTACCGGGAAATGGGTCTTCCGCATCAAGACGAAAGCAGACGGCACGATCGAAAAATTCAAAGCACGCTGGGTCGTACGTGGATTCGACCAAGAGCAAGGACGAGACTTCACCGAGACCTTTGCTCCAGTCAGCCGCCACACGTCACTCCGAATTCTCCTCGCCATTGCCGCCATGAAGAAGAAGAAGTTACGGCAGATCGACGTCGCGAATGCCTTCCTCTACGCACCTGTGGATGCAGAAATCTACGTCGAGCTCCCGCACGGTTCCCACGGCGAACCCAACCGAATCTGTCAACTACTTAAATCGCTCTACGGGATCAAGCGGGCACCGCGACTGTGGCAGCAGTACCTGCACGCCCGTCTCATCCGCATCGGCTTTAGTCAACTACCTCACGACCAAGGCATGTACCGCCTCACTAAGGGAAGCGACTACGTTCTCCTGATCGTCTACGTGGACGATCTCCTCTACATTGGGTCAACCGACGGCATCGCCACGTGGTTCGAAGGAGAGCTCCAGAAAGACCTCACGCTCACGGTCTCCTCCACCGTTACACAGTACCTCGGGCTCAACATCCGCGAAGAAGAAAACGCCATCTATCTAAGCGCCGAGAAATACGCCGACACCATCGCGAAACGCTTCAGCCTCACACCAAGCGCCATCTCCACGCCTTACCGCTACACATCAGGAACCGAGAAGGAACGAACTACTCTACTCAAGCCCGCCGGCATACGCGACTATCAAAATAAGCTCGGATGCCTGCTATTCGCCGCCGTCACCTGCCGTCCTGACTTATCCTACTCCGCAAGTCAGCTCGCCACCTATCTCAAGAAGCCTGAAGCTGAACACCTGGCGGAACTTGATCGCGCTCTCCACTACTTCGTCAGCACCGCGACGATCGGGCTAACCTACCACAAGAGCGCAGCTACACCGACTAAGCTAATCGGCTACGTCGACGCCGATCACGCCGGCGACACCGACAACAGGCGCTCACGCACCGGCTATGTCTACCGCCTTGAGCCTATCGGTCCTATCTCCTGGCAGTCGAGCAAGCAGGAGTTAATCGCACTATCTTCAGCAGAAGCAGAATATATTGCACTCTGCTCAGCCACCAAGGAGGGACTTTACCTTCGCGGACTACTGGAAGAAGCGAAGCTAGCCGAGTTACCCAGCTTCACCGTGTTCTGCGACAACCAGTCAGCAATTCGCATCGCCAACAAAAACGGCTTCGCAAACAGGACGAAACACATCGCCCTGCGCTATTTCTTCGTGAAGGACGAGATAGAAAAAGGGAAACTCGATCTGTCATACTGTCCAACATCCGAGATGGCAGCCGATTACTTGACCAAGAAACTCGGCAAGCAGAAGTTCGAATACTGCATGATGCTGACTGGACAAGGCCACGTCACCAGCAGTAACACTCCAGAAGCGAAGGGGAGTGTTGGAAACAATAAGTCCTAAGTGCGCTTCTGTCGTATCAAAATCCAAGGTACCAAGCGAAGCAGTCCCAATCGAAGCATCGAGTCAACCTCGGAGGTTAGGGTAACCGCCTGGAGGTTAAAGGTCGCTGACCTTTGACTCGACAATTACAGCGCGACAGTTAAGGACACACAACTGACTCGTTACAGAGCAGTTGCCCGAGTCGCGCTATATCGAACCGCAACAGCAATACAGTTATCTATCTATTCCCTGTACTCTTATATAAATCCTTGTATTTGCTTGTTTAATTCAATCAACTTTGCTCTCACACACCAGTGCAAGGTCGGTTCAAATTCTTCACTAAACGCTTCCGCTATTACAACTACTTCACCTAGAGTTATCCCTTGCAAAGATCCTAAGGGGCTATCTCAGCCCAACAGTTTAAACTATTGCTTCTTGAACTTGTGCTCAGAATGTGTGGTGACATTGTGATCCACCCTGAGCTTGTAGTGCTTTGCTTGCTCTGCTGATTACACCCCACTTTGGCTATGGGGGTGTGTCAGAATGTTATCTTATGCTCTAGCCTGTAGTGGGGTGCTCTATAGCGAGTACAACCCTTCTAGGGTTTGCTATTTGTATCCTCATTCTTGCTAGTGCAACCCTCTTCTCTCTTCTAATTTTCACAATCCTGCGCGGCCATTAATGGTTGCGCGCATCATATTTTAATGCCCGATCATATATTTTCTGCGGTCATAAGCTGCAATGCCCGGGCATCAACGCGGGACCCTTAATGACCGAGCATGATTGGTCAATTCTATGAGCGGTGCCTTTTTTTGAAATGCGCGTCCAATCAGGCGCAGTCATATAGGGTCACGCAATAATGAAGATCGCGCAATAACAAGTACAGGAGTTTCGGGAATAGAAACCCGTATAGGGTAATGGGCCGGGTTTAAAAAGGCCAGTGGGAAAACCCTGGCAAGGCCACTCGAGAATATAGGGCGTGTCCGAAGTGCCCCTCGACATCCACCCGTCATCCATCCGTCATTGGATGGATGACGGTGGCGGATGACGAGGGATGACGGATGGATGACGGTTGGTTGTCGAGTCACTTCGGACACACTGCCGGCGACATAACTGCCCAAAAAAATGCCGGCCGGCACTGTTGGCGCCGGCAGGGGCAGACCAGAGAAAATGTTAAATGTTCAAATTTGAATCTAACGAATTTCGCTAACATGTTTCGTCACCCCGTGCAGTCACAAAGGACAGTCGTTTGCCAAGAGATACTTTCGCCATGTTTCCCCCTCAAAATTTGTTATCAAACTTTGGGTTCGTTGACTGCCTCGTTGACCAGCCCGATGTCACTGTTGGCGGCACCCTTGGCTGTAATGTTTACACATGGCTGGATGACGGATGGATGTCGGTCGGATGTCAAATCACTTCGGACACAACGCCGGCCTGTAAATTTTCACCTACCACCCTGACATCCATCGACATGTCGCTTCGGACACGCCCTTATCACTAAATTTGATAACCACGTGAGCTAATGGTGGCCACGTGGGCAACGCTGAATCTCCAAACAAGGGTTTGGAGCAAATCTATCGCAACTATCACTCCCAGAATACACGCAACCAAACCAGCACTTCCCGCACCACCATTTTCTGCCTAATTCACTTCGTCATTAACAGAACTCACGATCACATTTGAGTTTTTTTAGCCATCGCCTTTCCACGAGCAGCATGACTGTCGATTCTGAAGGCAGTTGTGTTTGAAGTGTCTAGAGTAGTCTCAGAAACAGCGGGAACACGACGCGCGCCTGTTCCTTTGTCGGCAGTGCGAGCGCATGGAGTCGTTTCCTGCTTCGCGCCACCCGCTGCACACCCGCTTGCACACTCAAACCACATTACGCTCCCCTACGTTCGACGTCTCGCTATCAGCTTCTTTGGCACTCTGTATCGCTACGGCTGTTGCGCATACCCGTTCGGCAGAGTGGGAGCCACGCGCGGAGCCGCGGTCACTTCGGCCGGCTCGTCGCTGCAACGAGCGGCGAAGAACCGAACGAGATTGTTGCAAACGACGCACATAGTGTCGGGGATAAGGGTGCAAGGGGGAATGCAACGGCGGAGAGCACGGAGCTGGCGGACATCCTGGCGCGCGTGCACGAGGAGATGGCGGAGGCCACCGGCGCCCAAGCGGACGGGCGCGCGTCGATCTTGCGGAGCATGGGGCGCGAGGGCGGCGGGGAGGGCGAGGCAGGCGAGCAGCTGCTGCAGGCGGAGGAGCAACGGCGCATGCGGGCGCCGGGGGACGCGGAGGAGGCGGAGGAGGACGCAGGGTCTTGGGAAGGAAGCGACGGCGCGCAAGGCGGAAAGGAATACATGTGGACATGGAGAGGTGCGAAAGGGGGTTGAGGGGAGTAAGGTCGATATGTTATACCCAATACCGTTGTAACACGTATTGACGATGTATCGCGTACACTACGGGCAACGCCTCTCGCTCCACGCACTCCTCGTTTGCTCCGCCCATGCTCATGCGCCCCCTTGACCTCTCCCTCCCCCCCCCCCCTTTCCCCCCCCTCCCCTCCTCCTTCCCCCCGCCCGCAGGCTCCCCCGTGGCGGGGGCAACGTGGGCGGGCGCGGGGGTAGCGGAAGGGGCGGGGGCTGGCAGGGGGGAGGAGGAGCGGGGGCGGCTGGGGCAGGGCAGAGCATGGGGGGAGGGATAGGGGTGGGTAGCGGGACGTACCTGCAGGCGCGTGCGCTGCTGTTGAACATGGCGAAGAGCATGGAGCAGCTTGAGAGTGGGCTGTCCATCCGCCACAAGGTACCCGTGTGTGTGCGCTGCCATGCCCCGTCACCGTGCCATGCTGGCCCACCACGTTGCCACGTACCAGCAGCGCCTGCATGCCTTGCCCCATAACCATCCGTAACCGTAACCATGCACACACATGCATCACACGCACAGACACACTCACCCGCACGCCTATAAAGGTGTAAACGAATACCAGCATATTCGTATTCGTATTCGGTATTCGACAAATACCAAATAAAAAACGAATACGAAATCACTGCCTATTCGACTTTTATTCGATAACTGACTATTCGACATATTCGGTATTCGCCAGCCGAATATTCGGATATTCGTATAAGTATTCGACTACTTCAATCGGTATGTACCTAGATTTCTGAAGCTGCGTTTCTTATGTTTCACTCATATCATCAGCAATAGAAGCACCGGCGGTGCTTACGGCCTATTAGGAACCCTAGCCCAAGGTTCTATGTATGGTAAAAACCGTATTCGCATTCGTATTTGACACAGATCCAGGTATTCGAACAGTATTCGTAAACCATCTATTTGAACCATATTCGGATTCGGTAGAAGAGGGCTACTCGGCCAAATACGAAATTGCCTACTATTCGTAAAATATTCGTATAAAAAACCGTATTCGAAACCGTATTCGTTTTTACACCTTTACACGCCTACTCTCCCCCCCATGCGTGGCATGGCATGGCATGGCATGGCGAGCAGGAGATGGGCGAGTCAACGCAGTTCATCTCGGGCATCCGCTCCAGCGAACCAGCTGCCGGCCAGGTGGGTGGCAGGCCACGTGGGTGGCAGGCCACGTGGGTGGCAGGCCACGTGGGTGGGAGACCACGTGGGTGGGAGGCCACGTGGGTGGGAGGCCACATGGGGGCAGGGCACGTGGATGGCAGGGCATGTGGGTGGCAGGGTGGGTGGATGGCAGGGCATGTGGGTGGCAGGGTGGGTGGATGGCAGGGCATGTGGGTGGCAGGGTGGGTGGATGGCAGGGCATGTGGGTGGCAGGGTGGGTGGATGGCAGGGCATGTGGGTGGCAGGGTGGGTGGATGGCAGGGCATGTGGGTGGCAGGGTGGGTGGATGGCAGGGCATGTGGGTGGCAGGGTGGGTGGATGGCAGGGCATGTGGGTGGCAGGGTGGGTGGATGGCAGGGCATGTGGGTGGCAGGGTGGGTGGATGGCAGGGCATGTGGGTGGCAGGGCATGTGGATGGCAGGGCATGTGGGTGGCAGGGCATGTGGATGGCAGGGCATGTGGGTGGCAGGGCATGTGGATGGCAGGGCATGTGGGTGGCAGGGCATGTGGGTGGCAGGGCATGTGGGTGGCAGGGCATGTGGGTGGCAGGGCATGTGGGTGGCAGGGCATGTGGGTGGCAGGGCATGTGGGTGGCAGGGCATGTGGGTGGCAGGGCATGTGGGTGGCAGGGCATGTGGGTGGCAGGGCATGTGGGTGGCAGGGCATGTGGGTGGCAGGGCATGTGGGTGGCAGGGCATGTGGGTGGCAGGGCATGTGGGTGGCAGGGCATGTGGGTGGCAGGGCATGTGGGTGGCAGGGCATGTGGGTGGCAGGGCATGTGGGTGGGGTTAACGGTGACTGGTGGGGTGCGGGGATGGGGTTGGTGTGCCTGATGCTGTGCTTCCCTAGTGCATGCTGTGCTCCTAGTGCATGCTGTGCTCCTAGTGCATGCTGTGCTCCTAGTGCATGCTGTGCTTCCCTAGTGCATGCTGTGCTCCTAGTGCATGCTGTGCTCCTAGTGCATGCTGTGCTCCTAGTGCATGCTGTGCTCCTAGTGCATGCTGTGCTCCTAGTGCATGCTGTGCTTCCCTAGTGCATGCTGTGCTCCTAGTGCATGCTGTGCTCCTAGTGCATGCTGTGCTCCTAGTGCATGCTGTGCTCCTAGTGCATGCTGTGCTCCTAGTGCATGCTGTGCTTCCCTAGTGCATGCTGTGCTCCTAGTGCATGCTGTGCTCCTAGTGCATGCTGTGCTCCTAGTGCATGCTGTGCTCCTAGTGCATGCTGTGCTCCTAGTGCATGCTGTGCTTCCCTAGTGCATGCTGTGCTCCTAGTGCATGCTGTGCTCCTAGTGCATGCTGTGCTCCTAGTGCATGCTGTGCTCCTAGTGCATGCTGTGCTCCTAGTGCATGCTGTGCTTCCCTAGTGCATGCTGTGCTCCTAGTGCATGCTGTGCTCCTAGTGCATGCTGTGCTAGTGCATGCTGTGCTCCTAGTGCATGCTGTGCTCCTAGTGCATGCTGTGCTTCCCTAGTGCATGCTGTGCTCCTAGTGCATGCTGTGCTCCTAGTGCATGCTGTGCTTCCTAGTGCATGCTGTGCTCCTAGTGCATGCTGTGCTCCTAGTGCATGCTGTGCTCCTAGTGCATGCTGTGCTCCTAGTGCATGCTGTGCTCCTAGTGCATGCTGTGCTCCTAGTGCATGCTGTGCTCCTAGTGCATGCTGTGCTCCTAGTGCATGCTGTGCTCCTAGTGCATGCTGTGCTCCTAGTGCATGCTGTGCTCCTAGTGCATGCTGTGCTCCTAGTGCATGCTGTGCTCCTAGTGCATGCTGTGCTCCTAGTGCATGCTGTGCTCCTAGTGCATGCTGTGCTCCTAGTGCATGCTGTGCTCCTAGTGCATGCTGTGCTCCTAGTGCATGCTGTGCTCCTAGTGCATGCTGTGCTCCTAGTGCATGCTGTGCTCCTAGTGCATGCTGTGCTCCTAGTGCATGCTGTGCTCCTAGTGCATGCTGTGCTCCTAGTGCATGCTGTGCTCCTAGTGCATGCTGTGCTCCTAGTGCATGCTGTGCTCCTAGTGCATGCTGTGCTCCTAGTGCATGCTGTGCTCCTAGTGCATGCTGTGCTCCTAGTGCATGCTGTGCTCCTAGTGCATGCTGTGCTCCTAGTGCATGCTGTGCTCCTAGTGCATGCTGTGCTCCTAGTGCATGCTGTGCTCCTAGTGCATGCTGTGCTCCTAGTGCATGCTGTGCTCCTAGTGCATGCTGTGCTCCTAGTGCATGCTGTGCTCCTAGTGCATGCTGTGCTCCTAGTGCATGCTGTGCTCCTAGTGCATGCTGTGCTTCCCTAGTGCATGCTGTGCTCCTAGTGCATGCTGTGCTCCTAGTGCATGCTGTGCTTCCCTAGTGCATGCTGTGCTCCTAGTGCATGCTGTGCTCCTAGTGCATGCTGTGCTCCTAGTGCATGCTGTGCTCCTAGTGCATGCTGTGCTCCTAGTGCATGCTGTGCTTCCCTAGTGCATGCTGTGCTCCTAGTGCATGCTGTGCTCCTAGTGCATGCTGTGCTTCCCTAGTGCATGCTGTGCTCCTAGTGCATGCTGTGCTCCTAGTGCATGCTGTGCTCCTAGTGCATGCTGTGCTCCTAGTGCATGCTCACAGCATTGGTGGCGCCGGCAGCGGGCAGCGTCACTGGTGGGAGCAGCAGGTTGGGTGTGTGTGGTAGCAGTGTGGTCTGAGGCGCCTCAAAACACTACTTTTATCTGGTTGGGTGTGGTAGCAGTGCGTGCGTTTGCAGCCTGCATGAGGCATGGCTATGTGATGGCGTGAGGCAGCATGGGACTCCAATGTGGCAACCGCTGACATGTGCTCTGTGCTGACATGTGCTCTGTGCTGACATGTGCTCTGTGCTGACATGTGCTCTGTGCTGACATGTGCTCTATGCTGTGCATGGGGCGTGGCATGGGAATGGAATTGTATGGGCACATGGGCATGGCATGTGCGGGCATGGCATTGTGCGGGCATGGCATTGTGCGGGCATGGCATTTGCGGGCATGGCATTTGCGGGCATGGCATTTGCGGGCATGGCATTTGCGGGCATGGCATTTGCGGGCATGGCATTTGCGGGCATGGCATGTGTGGCATGTGCGGGCATGGCATGGTGTGGGTATGGCATGGTGCGGGCATGGCATGGTGTGGGCATGGCATGGTGTGGGCATGGCATGGTTTGGGCATGGCATGGTGGGGGCATGGCATGGTGTGGGCATGGCATGGTGTGGGCATGGCATGGTGTGGGCATGGCATGGTGTGGGGATGGCATGGTGTGGGCATGGCATGGTGCGGGCATGGCATGGTGTGGGCATGACATGGTGCGGGCATGGCATGGCATGGCATGGTGTGGGCATGGCAGGGCGCAGTGGTGCGGAGAGCAGAGGAGAGATGGTGGCGCGCATGCAGGTGCAGTTCGCAGCCATGGAGAAGGAGGCGGCCCACAAGGATACTGTGCTCGAACGCCTGCTCACCAAGCCAAGGAAGTCCACCAAGCAGGTGCGCCAAGTCCACCAAGCAGGTCCACCTCCTCCTTTCCTTCCTTCCTCACCTCATCCCTCTCGCTTTCTTTTCTTCATTTCTGCTTTCGCTTCAAAAATTTCCTTCCTGCTTGCGCGTGCATGTGCATGCGTGTGTGTGCGTGTGCATGGGGCGGGGAGCAGCAAATGAGGGTGGTGGAGGAGCGGTCGCGAGTGGAGAAGGACGAGCTGAGGAGGGAGATGGCGGAGCAGCAGCAGCAGCGCATGCATAGGGTGCGCTATGCTGCCACACTCACGACCTGCCACACCACACTGCCTGCCCGCACCTCGTACTGCACCGCACTCTACCGCATTCAACATCCATATTGATAGCCTCTTTCGTCCTCCATCCCCCATCTACCATTCCTCTCACTCACATCCTTGTCCTTCCTCTTCACCTTCCGTTTCCCTCCCCTGAATTGCCTCGTCTCCCTCTCCCACACCCCTCCCATCCATCCCCTCCTCTCCTCCCCACCACGCCACCATCCAACTGACCCACGTAGGCTTGGTGCGTTCAGGAGCTGGAGTCGGCAGCGGGGAGAGAGGAGAGGATGAGGCGGCAGCTGATGGAGGCGCAGGAGGGCATAGTGCACCGGGACGCCTTCCTGCAGCAGCTACAGGAAGAGGCTGCGCTCTCTGCCTCTGCGCTCAAACAGGCCGCCAGGATGGGCTGGGGTGGAGTGGGGTGGGGTGGGGTGGAATTGGCTGTGGTGGCGTGGGTAGGGAAGCGCATAGCAGCTGTAGGAAGAGGCCGCGCTCTCCGCCTCTGCGCTCAAGCAGGCCGCCAAGGTGCGCAGTGGGGGATGGGGGTTTTGCTCGCGTGGAAAGGGTTTTGCTTCACAGCGTGGTGTCAGATGGGGTGCGGTGGGCTGGGCTGGGTTGCCGTGCTGCGGGTAGGGAAACAAGTAGAGGATAGAGTGATGGCGTTTTCCAGCAGCAATACACATTTCCTCATGCTTTATGCTTCGCCTTCCTGCCTCCCGGCATCGTTCCCTCCCCGCCCCTCTCCCTCCCACTCCCCTCCTTCCCCATGGTGCCCGTGTGTGTGTGAGAGCGGGCGAGCAGGCGATGGTGGCGGCGCGGGACCGCACGTTGAGGATAGAGGAGCAGCTGGAGTCGATGGGAGACCAGCTGGCCAAGGAGCGCACCAAGACCCGCCGCGAGAGAGACAACACCGTGCGCGTCACTGCTGTACGTGCCCTGCCCTGCCCTGCCCTGCCCTACCCTGCCCTGCCCTGCCCTGCCCTGCCCTGCCCTGCCCTGCCCTGCCCTGCCCTGCCCTGCCCTGCCCTGCCCTGCCCTACCCTGCCCTGCCGCGTGTGATAAGTCGAATTGTGAGTCGGTGGGTGACCAGCGCGCTAAGACCCGCCACGAGCGGGAGAACACCGCGCGTGTCACTGCTGTATGTGCACCACCGCGTGGAGGGGGGGGGGGGGGGGGAGAGGGAATGGGAGGATGGGGGCTTTATGGGAAAACGTGCAATGTGTAGATAGGCAGGCATGGAGTGGGGTGCAAGGGCTCTTGTGCATTCTGCATCAGCAATGCTTGCCAGGCTGCCACTGCTCCTGATTGCCCCACTTGCCATTTCCCAACGCATCTTGTTCCTCCCATCGGCTTGCATCCTCATCATCCACTCGCTCCCCGTCCCTGCTCCCACCCACCGCTGCTGCTGCTGCGTTGCGTTGGTGAGGAGGCGCGTGATAATAATGGAGCTCAACTGATTGATTAGGAAAGAAGGCACTAGGCCTTAAGTACAAACGAGGTTGGGATGGGCAAGGCTAGGGAAAGGATGGGATGGGAATCCTAGCAAATCTCCAATTGGTGAGTTGGCAGATTTGCAGGATTACGAGGGAATCCCAACAAGATAGGGTTGGGATCACAAACTACACCCAACCCGCAAATAACCTACGCGATATAAAATATAGTACACAAAGTGTTGACAGCCTAATTCTAACACACCCCCTAGGCTGCAACACATCAGCCACAAGGAGGCCCAACACCCATGGCCGAGAGGAGGCGGTAATGATCCTCGCGAACAAGCGACTTGGTAAACAAGTCAGCAAGGTTGCAGTTGGAGGCAATGTGTTCAGCCTTCAGCTGCTCGCGCTGCACCAGCTCACGAAGAAAGTAGTGACGGACTTCAATGTGCTTGGTGCGGCCATGGAAAACGGGGTCTTTGGTGAGATGAATGGTGCTCTCGTTGTCACACCAAAGCGTTGGGGTTGGTTGGGGATACCCCAGTTCTGTCAGCAGGAAGGAGAGCCAACGAGCCTCTTGTGCAGCCATGGTCCCGGCATACAGCTCTGCCTCACAGGTCGACAGTGAGACGGAGGACGACCGAGTGGAGCGCCAACTTACAACCCCACTGCCAAGGGTAAAGCAATACCCTTGGGACGAGCGCCGATCACTCTGGTCATCAGCATAGGATGAGTCACTGTACCCCTCAAGGCGAACAGGGGAAGTGCCACCAAGCGTGAGCACATAATCCTGTGTGCCTTTGAGATAGCGAAGAACCCGCTTGGCGGCAGACCAGTGGTGGCGAGTGAAGCGACCAGGTGCAACGTAGCGGGACAGTACACTGACTGGATAGGCTGAGTCTGGTCGAGTGCACATCATCGCGTACAATAGGGATCCCACAAGCTCGGGGTAAGGCTCGTCACAGGGCTCAGGTGAGGGAACGGAGGGTGCAGTGAGTTGGTGTTGCAGAGAGAGTGGGGTGGGCATTGATGCTGCTTCCTGCATCTGGAACCTCGTCAGAACGTTGTTGATGTAAAACTTCTGCGAAAGGGTGATGGTGCGGGCTGTGCGATCACGTGTGATTTCCATTCCCAAATAGTTCGTCAGCTTCCCAAGGTCCTTCATGGCCAGCTTCTCACCAAGTGCGGTTTTGACTGCTGCCAGCTCAGTCTGATCCTTGGTGACAAGGATCATGTCATCGACATAAACCAGGATGAAGAACCGGGAGGGTGTTGCTCGGATGAAGAGGCTGGGGTCAGAGGTGGATGGGTGAAAGTCGAGGGACCCTAAGGTGCTCTTTAGCTTGTTGTGCCATTCCCGGGGAGCTTGCTTGAGGCCATACACTGGCCGATTCAGCTTCCATACAGTGCCTGGTGGAAAAGGAGCTGGAAATCCTTCGGGCCGCTCCATATAGATTTCCTCTCGAAGGATCCCTTGCAGGAACGCAGAAGACACATCCATGCAGTCAACCTCCATGTCATCTCGAGCAGCGACATCAAGAAGGGTGCGCAGTGTGGGAGTTTGGCGGTGGGAGAGAATGTCTCAAAGAAGTCCAGTCCACGCTTTTGGGTAAATCCCTTGGCACAGTACCGGGCTTTGAAGACAGGAAATTCGCCTGGAAGTTGTTTCACCCGAAAGACCCATTTTCCCTTCACAATGTTGACGCCGGAGGGAGGAGAGACGTATGTGAAAGTTCCTGTGTGAATGAAGGCCTCACATTCTGCGACAATGGCCCCCAACCACTGAGCGGCGTGAGGACCAGAGACTGCTTCAGCATAGGTGAGAGGTGTGGGGATGGAGGGGTTGTCGGAGAAATTGAGGGTTGGAGAGTCTGCGATGTCTGGAAAGAGGAAGCAGAGTGCGTGGATGGCTGAGTCGATATCAATCAACTCCTCATGTCTGTCTTCAAGGAGAGATGGCATGAGAGAATAATCACCCCCGACAGGAGGAGGATTGAGAGAGACGCGAACGGAAAGGGAGAACGATTGTGGAGGTGAGCGAGAGCGGGTGCGAGAAGCGATGGGTGAGGGAGGCGGGGCCGGAGTAGGCGTAGCGGAAGGGGAGGTGGGAGTGGGAGGGAGAGTGGAGACAGGATCGGGATCAGGGGTGGGAGCAGGAGGAGGAGGAGGGGGAGGAGGAGGAGGAGGAGGAGGAGGAGCTGGGTGACGGCGTTGGTAGGTTTTGAGAGGAACGGGCTCGGTAGGAGGAGATGCGAGAGGAGATGGAGGAGGGGTAGCGGAGGAGGGAGGGAGCGAGGGAGACTGTGTGGTACTGGAGGGGGAAGTGGGTGATGGGGGATCAGAAATGGTGGAGGGAGCGGGAAGAGGAGGAGATGGAGTGTCGGGAAGAGGGAGACTGTCAAAGTCAGCTTAAGTAAGAGAGGGAGGCGGAGGAGAGGGGGAAGCCTCGGAGGAGGGGTAAAATGAGTGGGACTCATCAAAGTAAACGTCCCGGCTGCGATAGAGCTTGTTGGTGGAAGGATGGAGGAAGAGATAGTCTGGCGACCGAGAGGTGCAGCGGAGATGGACTCAGTGGGGGGATGGGGCTGTTCACGAAGCTTGCTCTGTGCACAGTCAAGGCAAGGCGGCCCTAGGGTGGAGGTAGGAGAGGGAAGTGAGGTTGGAAGCCCGTGGAGGAGTTGTTTTGTGGCAAGGTCTGAAAGCGCGCGAAAGTTGATGTGGCCAAGGCGGTGATGAAAGAGCATGGTTTTGTCGGAAAGGAGGCGGCAGTGACAGGTGGAGGAGTCAAGGGAAGGTAACGGGAGGTTTGTGAGGGAGCACGTTTGAATGGGAGGTACTACGAGCGTGTATAGGTTGTTGGAGTTGAGAGTGAAGCGGGCTAGATGAATGCCGGTTTTGGCGTCAAAGAGGCCACAGAAGTCGACATCATTGGGAAAGATGGTGATCACTCCTGCTTGTTGGATTTCACTTTGTGCCAGGAGGTTGTGGCGGAGGGTGGGGGCACAGATGCCAGTGACTGTGCTCGATGGAAATGCTGGACAAGGAACTGTGGAGGACCCATGGCATTGGATGGAGAAGCTAGAGTCGGCTCCGAGGAGTGGGATGGGAGCCTGGTAAGGAACGAACGCGGTTTGGTCTTTGAGCACTGTGTGGGTGGCACCATTGTCTAGTATGAACTCGATCCCTTGTGTGTTTGAAACACCGATGTACTGCCACCCCTTCTCATTAATAAGACCAGCACCAGAGAACAACAGGTTGAGGCGAACATCAGATGGGGTGCTATCAACTGAGGGACTAGGTTCCTCCACTGCCTCGACATGGTTCACGCGACGGGGTGGGGCCCAGTTGGGAGGGCGCTTGTTGGTGGAGACACCATGGACGTCGTACCACTCATCATCTCGCTTCTTGAAGCAAGTTGCCTCAAGGTGGTTGGTGCCTCCGCATTTCTGCCCCCCACGTGGGCCTTTCCTAATGATGTAGGGGCATGGGGGAAAGGAGTTGCGCCTTGGTCCCTGTTGGGAGCGGAATGGGATTCCAGGGGTGTAGCGCACAGCATTGACGGATGCTTGGGCTGCAAGGTCCTTTTCGGCGGAAAGGAGAGCCGATGCGACTTTTTCGAAGGTGAGTTCCTTGGTGGGAAGTTGCTTGAGCATGGAGCTGGTGACATTGTAGGCCGGGGTCAGTCCTACAAGTAGGCCAGCTGCAGGTGCCTGTTCGGGGAAAATGATCCCAATGTCCTTGAGTTCCTCATGGATGTTGCGGATTTCAGATATGTAATCTGCCATGCCAGGGCATTCCTCAAGGCGGACCTGGAACATTCGAGGGATGAGGATGGCAACACCCACCGCTGTCTTGTCATGGAAACGGTCCTGGAGGTACTTCCAAATCGCATGAGCGGAGCGAAAGGTGCGGTAGGATTTGACGAGCTCAACCGGAGTGGTGGTGATGAAAACCCTAATAACTGCTGCATCTGCCTGCTCCCACACACTGAAATCAGTCTCGTACTTGGTGGTATGAGCGTCAAAAGCGGCCTTCTCTGCGGCAGCGGCGCCTTCGCCAAGGGGATCGGGAGGGAGAGGCATCTTTCCCTTGCCGCGGTTGAGGAGGATGTCCTTGAGGCAAATCCCCTTCAGTTCTGTGCTAAGGAGGTGCTTCTCCACCCCATAGCACTAGGCATGATCATTAGGCCCGACCGGACCCGACCCGACCCGACTTGGGCGGGCCAGCCGGGTTCCGGGTCGGGTCGGGTCGGGTCGGAACTTCAAAAAATCCTGGCCCGACCCGGGTATCGGGTGCCGGGTCAGGCGTGACCCGCCCCCGGGTCGGGTCGGGTAGGGGCCGGGTCGGGTCGGGTCGGGCCAAGACCCCATATGCAGGGTAAGAGGTTCCTAAGTTGGAAAAAACGCTAGTTTCAAGTTGCGTATTGAGTTTATACGCATCTAGAATTCGTACGCTGCGGATTTTTCTAAAATTCGCCAAATTTGGCTCGGGCTGACCGGAAGAAAAAAAATCAGATGAGTTCGCGATCTGGCGAACTCAAATTTGAGTCTCGAAATTCAGATCTGAGTTCGCGCGTTGCTAAAGCAACTTCAGATCTGAATTTCGAGATTGTTGGTGGATCATTCCCTCTTATCCACCGCTCACAACCCACCTTCACCCCATCCAATTTGTTGCCAACTTCTACCAGACTCACTCAATGTCAGGCCGCTTTTCCCTTCAATAATCTTTGCCTTCGATTTCTTCCTCTTCACTTTGACGATGACCTACTACAGCAGCAGTTAGGTAATGGATTACTACAGCAGCTCCGGTCTAGGGTTTAGACATTGACTTCGCGATCTGCTTTAGTGCAACTTGTCGAGGGAATGTCAATGTCGAGGGAACAAACAAACCCTAGACATTGACTTCGCGATCTGCTTTAGTGCAACTTGTCGAGGGAGGAAAAGTCGGGTTGGGCCAAATACTCGACCCGACTTAGGGCGCGGTACCCGAAACCGGGTCGGGTACGACTTCGGGTCTAAATCTGACCCGACCCGACCCGACCCGGTTTCGGGTGTCGGGTCGACCCGACCCGACCGGGTAAACCCGACCCGACCCGGCCGGGTCAGCGCTTCAAAATGCCTGAGCCGACCCGCCGGGGCAGGATGATCATGCCTGCATAGCACCATTCCCCAAAGTTGGTGCTCGTGCCGTTGGGAGCGAGGTTGAGAACGATGAGGTTTCCGACTAGGGTAGAAGTTGAAGTCGCCATTCGCGCGGAGCGCAGCGCTAAAGTCAACGATACGAAGCGGCGATTTTGAAAATTGATGAAGTCCGAAACGCGGAAATGTGCGATTTCGGCAATAAGATTGCGATTCCTGTTTTGCTTCTCTGCTTCGCCGATGACCCCTTTTCTGCTGCGCCGATGACCTGTTCCGCTGCGCCGCTGACCTGCTCTGCTGCGCCGCTGAACCTGCTCTGCTGCGCCGCTGAACCTGCTCTGCTGCGCCGCTGAACCTGCTCTGCTGCGCCGCTGAACCTGCTCTGCTGCGCCGCTGAACCTGCTCTGCTGCGCCGCTGAACCTGCTCTGCTGCACCGATGAAAACCTGCTGGAAGTTTCGAATGTGAGAAAATTGCCACGGAAATTTGAAATTTCAGAGCTTACGATGAAGGAAATTGACGGAGAAATGTGCCGCCGTTGAAATCGGAAATGCACGTAGACGGAGCGGGAAAGCGCTTTTGACCAGTGCGACGATGTGAAGACGAAAAACGCTAAGCGAAGAAGGCGTGAACCGAGAACGCCATAGCCGAGAGGAAGAGAATGATCGCGACGCCAAGGATCGGATTCCGCGTGAGCGGAATTTGCTAGCTCGATACCATGATAATAATGGAGTTCAACTGATTGATTAGGAAAGAAGGCACTAGGCCTTAAGTACAAACGAGGTTGGGATGGGCAAGGCTAGGGAAAGGATGGGATGGGAATCCTAGCAAATCTCCAATTGGTGAGTTGGCAGATTTGCAGGATTACGAGGGAATCCCAACCAGATAGGGTTGGGATCACAAACTACACCCAACCCGCAAATAGCCTACGCGATATAGAATATAGTACACAAAGTGTTTACAGCCTAATTCTAACAGCGCGAGCAGGAGCTGGCAGAGGACATGGCGTTTGAGCCCACTCATAACTCCCCCCCCCCCCCCCTCTCTCTCTCCCCCCGCCCCTTCGTCTCCCCGTTGATGTGACGTGATGGGGTGGTGGTGTGGGTGCTCATAGGAGCTGGTGGAGGCGCGCATGGCCGGCAGTGGAGGAGATGGCGGGGCGGTTTGAGATGTCTTCTGATTCTCATCAATATTTTTCCTCTGATTCTCATCAATAATTTTCCTCTGATTCTCATCAATAATTTTCCTCTGATTCTCATCAATAGTTTTCCTCTGATTCTTTTATCATGGCGCGTGCAGGAGCTGGCAGAGGCGCGCATGGCAGCAGAGGAGATGGCGGGGCGGGTGGGGCGGCTGGAGAGCGAGGTGCAGCGCAAGGAGCGCGAGATGCTTCACAGCCGCGAGGAGGCGGACGCTGTCAGGGCGCAGCTGCAAGCCACCCAGCAGGTAGGCACGGCGCAGCTGCAAGCCACCCAGCAGGTAGGCACGGCGCAGCTGCAAGCCACCCAGCAGGTAGGCACGGCGCAGCTGCAAGCCACCCAGCAGGTAGGCACGGCGCAGCTGCAAGCCACCCAGCAGGTAGGCACGGCGAGCGGCTGTGGAGGGGCGAATGAGGGGCTCAATTGCTGTGTGAGTGGGGAGGGGTTGAGTGAGGGAGTCAAGCTGCTCATCTCTGGTACGAGCTCTGCCCTGCCCCAGTCTCTCGCTGCCCGTGACATCACCGCCACCTCCCCTCCCCCCTTGTTCCTCCTTTCCCCTGCCCCCAGGCGCTGGAGGAGGCAGCGCGGCAGGCGAGGGAGGAGCAGGCGGGCAGGCAGCAGGCGGAGGCGGCGGTGGAGGAGGAGAGAGCGGCGGCGGCAGCGGCGGTGGCGGGGCAGATGAGCGCGGAGCAGCGGCTGATGGAGGCACAGGCGCGCGTGCAGCTGCTGGAAGGCGAGGTGGACTCACTCAAGGTGGGGTGGGCAAGGGAGGGGAGGGGAGGGGAGGGGAGGGGAGGGGAGGGGAGGGGAGGGGAGGGGAGGGAAGGGGAGGGGAGGGGTGGTGGGATGGGATTCATGAGGTGGCATGTGCGTGCCTCGTGGTCTGACCTGATGCAGAGGATGATGCTGTGGTGGTAACCCCTGGTCCGTGTAACCCCTGGTCCGTGTAACCCCTGGTCCGTGTAACCCCTGGTCCGTGTAGCTCTCTCACCAACCCTCTCTCTTCCACCCGCCTCCCCACCCCATCTCGCGTCCTTGTGCTCCCGTGCGGTGTGTGGGCGTGGGAGCAGGAGGTGGCAGCGAGCAAGGACTCGCTGCTGGCGGCGGTGAAGGAGGAGACCATGCGCAATGCTGACATGCTGCTTGCTGCTGCCAACACTCGCAAGGTCAGACCCGCTGGAGCCCCATACCTTGTGCGAGCCTTCTTCAGACCAACGCTGACATGCTGCGCCGCGACACCACCCAGAACATCCGTGCCCAGCGCGCCGAGCTGGTGAGTCATTGGCGGGTGGTGAGCTCGTGAGTCATTGGAGGGGTGGTGGGTGCGAGGGCAACGCTCATGCTTGTGCCGGGCCTCGCATCATCTCATTGCTGCTTCACCCTCCTTCCCTTGCTTCCTGTATGCCCTTCTTCCCCACACAAAACCACCCCTATTCTCTATTTGTGTGTGGTGCGCCTGGCGGGGGGCAGGCGCTGCGGGAGGCTGAGAGGAGGGCGCGGGAACTGGAGATGGAGTCGCTGCTTCACCTCCACTCTCCCCACCCCCACAAAACCACCTCCCCACCCCCACAAAACCACCTCCCCACCCCACAAAACCACCACTCCCCCCTCTTTCCTGCAGGCGCTGAGGGGTAGGCGGAGAGGAGGGCGCGCGAGCTGACGATGGAGAGGGAGTCGCTGCGGCGGGGCGTGGCAAAGCGCGACCAGGCGCTGGGGCTCATGAAGAGAGAGCTCGAACGCACCGCTCACATGCTCTCCGCCGCTGCTGACACCCGCCAGGTGAGCCCTGCTGCTGACACCCGCCAGGTGAGCCCTGCTGCTCACACCCGCCAGGTGAGCCCTGCTGCTCACACCCGCCAGGGTGAGCCGTGCTGCTGACACGTCAGTTGCTCTTATCAGGTGGATGAGTTTGTGTGGTGCAGTACCGATGCTGCGACTGAGGGGCTGTTTCCTGTGCTTCATGCCCCCCCTGCCCTCCCTTGCCATGGGATACGACCCTCATCACATCAACTCCCGTTGTGTGGGGACTGGGAGTGACAGGCATTACGGAGCATGAAGGAGCAGATGGAGTGGATGCAGGAGGAGGCGCGCGTCAAGGAGGAGCGCCTGGCAGCGCTGCAGGAGAAGTTTGTCTCTGCTCTCAAGGGCACCACCTTCCCATCGCATGCGTGCATGAATGCACCACTGTTTTTCTTAGGTGCTTCTCTTCCGTGGATGTGGTGCACTTATATAGTTTTCGCAAATCCTCACTTTGCCAGTGCTCTTTTCCTTGTACCGTATGTTGGCGTCGGAACTGGCATGTTTGCCGCAGGACAAGAGCATTCTAAAGCGAAGAAAGGTGCCGCCACAAGGGAAGTCCTCTGGCGATTCGCAACCCCAATGACCTTTTTGAGAGCAACTCTCGCCTCTATGGCAATGGAGCGCCTGTAGCAGCAATTGTATAAAGCATGGAGTGTGCTTGGTTCCTGAGTGTGTATGCAAGCTTCTGATGGTGATCATAATTATCGGCTCTTGATAAAGCTAGGGCAAATAGCATGTACGGTATGTTAGTCGAGGGTTGGAATTGTAGAACCACACTGTAGGGAGTTGCGAGCCTTGGCGAGGATGCAGCATCTGGTGGGCGGCAGCAGTGTTCGATGGCTGTCAGCCACCTGATCCATCTCTAATCCTTGACCCCTGAATTCGGCCTACACCGCACAGCATTGGCTGTGGGTTTGTGCCCACGCGAAGCGGTTCGACGCTGGGGGCCAATGACACTCCCCTTGTGCTGGGGAGCCCCACGATTGGGCGAGGGCTGTAGAGATCGACGGCAGATGTGGCAAGTTCCTGAACCCACCTCTTTGGGGGACTTGAAACAGCTAGTCCGCCAACGTGGCGGAAGATTTTGACGTCAATATCTGCCCGTTCGGCCTGTTGTTGCGAGGGAGACCGATATCCGCGACTGGTGTTCCAACGAAGTTTCGAGGGCGCGAATCGTTTCGTTGGTGACCGTCGTTCGCCCCCCCCTTTCCTTCAAATCCGTCCAAACCCATTCTTGCCACCACTTACGCACCCCGCTCCCGCACGCCACATTCACTCACTGCAATCCCCCCCTCCTCACCACCAATTCGCGCTCTCATGTCGACTCGACGTCTCTCGCACCATCACCGAAAATGGTAGTTTTCTTGGAAATGCCAAGTGCGTTTCAACCGAGTTAGTGATATACAGCCTTACGCTGTTTTGTGTGCTGCTTCCAGTCCAGCCCTCCAGCCATGCTGCAGCCCCGAAAAAAATAGCATCCTTGCATCTTCAGGTGAATCCTTCGAGCCACAGTACATAGGCTCGCCGCTCACAGCCTTCCAGCGCCACCATGCTTTCCGCGCTCGGCGCAAGCTCCAAGGCCGTGCTGCGCGCGGACCTGCAGCCATGTGCGTCATGCCACGCTCACCGTCTCGACTCCGCTCACCACCTCCCGGCAACCGCGCTGCTCTTGCATTCCGCTGCCCCGCAAGCGCACCAGCTGCGCGCGCTCCGGTCCTCTTCAGCCGCTGCGCTCTTCCCTTCAGCCGGGGGCCGCGCGGACAGTGGGCGCAGGTCCGCGGTTGTTCGCGTGAGCGCCGAAGCGGAGACTCCGCAGAGCGAGCGGCTCCAATTGAACGGCTCGGGTAGGTGAATGGGGATGGGCGCGCGCCTGCACTGTCTTCGGGGCAGAATTGCTGCACTTCGGCAGAATTGCTGCACTTCCAGGACCGTCGTCCCTCCTCTGCTTCAGTCCTGCTCCCGTGCCGCGCAAATGTCTTGACCCCGCCAGTACTAGTCATCCCCATTTCCTTACGACCTCCTCTGCCCTCTGCCTCCCCTCCCCCCTATCCTCGTGCCATCCGCCGGGGTGGTGTCCCCCCGTGCGCGTGGGGTGCGCAGTGCTTCGCGCGGACCCGCTGTGGTCGGCGGTGACGGAGCAGGTGGCCATCGGCGGGAGCGTCACGACGGCGGGTGCGGAGGACGTGCGCGCGCTGCAGACGCAGTTCGGCATGACGGCCGTCGTTAACGTCGAGGTACGTTAACGTCGAGATACGCACTCAACCCCGTCGCGCACACCAACGCCCGTGCCGTTTCACACTTGCTCACATCTCGTGCCAATTTCTACGCGTGCTGACATGACATGGCGTGCGTGTGTCTTTGGTGGCGGCGTGCAGGAGGAGAGCGCGATGAAGGCGCGCGGCAGCAGCTGGGACGAGGAGCGGCGGCGGCTGGAGGAGCAAGGCGTGGTGGCCGTGTGGGTACCCGTCAAGGAGCACGACGCCACAGAGCAGGTGAGGCGCACGCCGCCACGCAGCAGGTGAGGCGCACGCCGCCACGCAGCAGGTGAGGCGCACGCCGCCACGCAGCAGGTGAGGCGCACGCCGCCACGCAGCAGGTGAGGCGCACGCCGCCACGCAGCAGGTGAGGCGCACGCCGCCACGCAGCAGGTGAGGCGCACGCCGCCACGCAGCAGGTGAGGCGCACGCCGCCACGCAGCAGGTGAGGCGCACGCCGCCACGCAGCAGGTGAGGCGCACGCCGCCACGCAGCAGGTGAGGCGCACGCCGCCACGCAGCAGGTGAGGCGCACGCCGCCACGCAGCAGGTGAGGCGCACGCCGCCACGCAGCAGGTGAGGCGCACGCCGCCACGCAGCAGGTGAGGCGCACGCCGCCACGCAGCAGGTGAGGCGCACGCCGCCACGCAGCAGGTGAGGCGCACGCCGCCACGCAGCAGGTGAGGCGCACGCCGCCACGCAGCAGGTGAGGCGCACTCCGCCACGGAGCAGGTGAGGCGCACTCCGCCACGGAGCAGGTGAGACGCACGCCGCCACGCAGCAGGTGAGGCGCACTCCGCCACGGAGCAGGTGAGGCGCACGCCGCCACGGAGCAGGTGAGGCGCACGCCGCCACGGAGCAGGTGAGGCGCACGCCGCCACGGAGCAGGTGAGGCGCACGCCGCCACGGAGCAGGTGAGGCGCTTAAAGTGCTTCGACTCCTCCTTGTCCTCCGTCTCTTGTCTCCGCTTGCTCCTCCCCACCTAAACGCTCTTCCCCTCGGTCGCTTCTCCCCTCCACTCTGGTCTCCCCCCCACCCCTTTCCCCCATGGGCGGCAGGCGCTGATGCTGCCGCAGGTGGTGCGGGTGGTGTCGGCGCTGGTGGCGGCGGGGCACACGGTGGTGCTGCAGTGCTCGTCGGGCGACCGCATCTCGCCGCTCATCGCCATCGGGTGAGTCGCCGCTCATCGCCATTGGGTGAGTCGCCGCTCATCGCCATCGGGTTAGTTTTGAGTCGACTCAAAAGGCCGGGGGGGCCAAAGGCCAGGTGCGCGTGAGATAGGGAGGGGGGGTACACGTGTAAAGCCAAGGAACGGTGAAATGGGTAAAGCCAAGGAACGGTGACATGGGTAAAGCCAAGGAACGGTGACATGGGTAAAGCCAAGGAACGGTGACATGGGTAAAGCCAAGGAACGGTGACATGGGTAAAGCCAAGGAACGGTGACATGGGTAAAGCTAAGGAACGGTGACATGGGTAAAGCCAAGGAACGGTGACATGGGTAAAGCCAAGGAACGGTGACATGGGTAAAGCCAAGGAACGGTGACATGGGTAAAGCCAAGGAACGGTGACATGGGTAAAGCCAAGGAACGGTGACATGGGTAAAGCCAAGGAACGGTGACATGGGTAAAGCCAAGGAACGGTGACATGGGTAAAGCCAAGGAACGGTGACACGTGTAAAGCCAAGGAACGGTGACATGGGTAAAGCCAAGGAACGGTGACATGGGTAAAGCCAAGGAACGGTGACATGGGTAAAGCCAAGGAACGGTGACATGGGTAAAGCCAAGGAACGGTGACACGTGTAAAGCCAAGGAACGGTGACATGGGTAAAGCCAAGGAACGGTGACATGGGTAAAGCCAAGGAACGGTGACATGGGTAAAGCCAAGGAACGGTGACATGGGTAAAGCCAAGGAACGGTGACATGGGTAAAGCCAAGGAACGGTGACATGGGTAAAGCCAAGGAACGGTGACATGGGTAAAGCCAAGGAACGGTGACATGGGTAAAGCCAAGGAACGGTGACATGGGTAAAGCCAAGGAACGGTGACATGGGTAAAGCCAAGGAACGGTGACATGGGTAAAGCCAAGGAACGGTGACATGGGTAAAGCCAAGGAACGGTGAAATGGGTAAAGCGAAAGAAATGTGACATGGGATATAAACATGTGAGCGGTAACATGGTAACAAGCGTTTGGCAACGCACGGGCATTGTGGCCGACTGTTTGAGCATCCCCCTCGTCCCCTGTATGTGTGCATCGGCCGTGCTGCGCGCGCAGGTACCTCATGTTCGTGCGCGGCATGCCCGCGGACGCCGCCTCCGCGCTGGTGGCGGAGAGACGCGCCGGCATCAGCCCGCCCATGGGCGTGCTCACGGAGGTGCGCGGGGGAGAGGGCGAGGAGGAATGATGTATGGGGGGAGAGGGCGAGGAGGAATGATGTATGGGGGGAGAGGGCGAGAAGGAATGATGTATGGGGGGAGAGGGCGAGGAGGAATGATGTATGGGGGGAGAGGGCGAGGAGGAATGATATATGGGGGGAGAGGGCGAGGAGGAATGATGTATGGGGGGAGAGGGCGAGGAGGAATGATGTATGGGGGGAGAGGGCGAGGAGGAATGATGTATGGGGGGAGAGGGCGAGGAGGAATGATGTATGGGGGGAGAGGGCGAGGAGGAATGATGTATGGGGGTAGAGGGCGAGGAGCAATGATATATGGGGGGAGAGGGCGAGGAGGAATGATGTATGGGGGGAGAGGGCGAGGAGGAATGATGTATGGGGATGGGGGAGCCCCCTGAGAGGCATGCGGGGTAGCTTTTAGCGCGAGAGCTGACGGGTGGGTAGTGGTGTCAAGGGTGCAGGCGGGCACTTGCATATCATGCATCACCATGGGCATTCGCATCAACGCCTGCATGCCATCATGCCATCCCTCCCCCTGCTTGCCGTGCCTCCCCGTCCCCATTCCGCGTGCGCCCGTGCGGCGGGCAGGCGATGGAGAAGGTGTTGGCGGGGGCGACGGCGCGTGTGATCGAGATCGCGGAGAGCATCTATCGCAAGCGCGAGCGCACGGGGCAGCCAGGCGACTCCAACTCCGACTGGGTGGTGCGCTCCCCTGCCCTGCCTTCCCCCCTGCCTTCCCCCCTGCCTTCCCCCCTGCCTTTCCCCCTGCCTTTCCCCCTGCCCTCCCCCGTCCCTCCCCTGCTTTCCCCCCTCCCTCCCCTCGCCGCTATTCTCGCGTGCTGCTCACTTCCCAGTCTGCGAATCTTCTCATCTCGCATTCGCCAGCTTGCCCCCTTCACCCCCCATTCTCCTTCTCCCCACTCTCTGCCCCGCTACCCCCCTTCCTCACCTCCCCTTCCCCCACTTCCTGCCCCGCTACCCCCCCTTTCTCAACTCCCCCCTGTCGCTGTGCGCCCAGCAAGCCCAGCGCGCGTACATCAACGAAGCCTTTGCGAAATGGCTCGCTGCTGACGTCAGCTTCGCAGAGTCTATCGCCCAGGTGAGTGCATCCACCCCTCCACCCGTCCACCCGTCCACCCCTCCACCCCTTCACCCCTCCACCCCTTCACCCCTTCACCCCTCCACCCCTTCACCCCTTCACCCCTCCACTCCTCTTCCCTTTTCACCCCTCCACCCCTCCATTTTTCCATCCTCAAGCGCTCTCCGTGGTCTCGCCGCTCCCCTCGCCTCTGCCTCACGCCATCTTCTCACCCGCGCCTGCTTGCCCTTTTTCTACCCGCTGGTCTTTCTTCTCGCCCTCCACTGCCACGTTTCACCGCACTGCATCTCATTGCGCCGCCCTGCACCCCTGGTTGCCCCCACTGCAGGCGGCGGAGCGCAAGGCGAGGGAGCAGCAGGCAGCAGAGGAGGCGGAGCGGAGGGCTGCTGGGCCCGCCAAGGTAAGGCGCCTCTTCCCTCTCGCCCCTTCACATGCACTCTCGCCCCTTCACATGCACTCTCGCCCCTTCACATGCACTCTCGCCCCTTCACATGCACTCTCGCCCCTTCGCATGCACTCTCGCCCCTTCACATGCACTCTCGCCCCTTCGCATGCACTCTCGCCCCTTCACATGCACTCTCGCCCCTTCGCATGCACTCTCGCCCCTTCGCATGCACTCTCGCCCCTTCGCATGCACTCTCGCCCCTTCACATGCACTCTCGCCCCTTCGCATGCACTCTCGCCCCTTCGCATGCACTCTCGCCCCTTCGCATGCACTCTCGCCCCTTCACATGCACTCTCGCCCCTTCGCATGCACTCTCGCCCCTTCGCATGCACTCTCGCCCCTTCGCATGCACTCTCGCCCCTTCGCATGCACTCTCGCCCCTTCGCATGCACTCTCGCCCCTTCGCATGCACTTTCGCCCCTTCGCATGCACTCTCGCCCCTTCGCATGCACTCTCGCCCCTTCGCATGCACTCTCGCCCCTTCGCATGCACTCTCGCCCCTTCGCATGCACTCTCGCCCCTTCACATGCACTCTCGCCCCTTCGCATGCACTTTCGCCCCTTCGCATGCACTTTCGCCCCTTCGCATGCACTCTCGCCCCTTCGCATGCACTCTCGCCCCTTCGCATGCACTCTCGCCCCTTCACATGCACTATCGCCCCTCCACTCGCTTTACTCCACCCCCACTGCCTGCACCCACCCGTTGCTTGCCCGCCCTGTTGCCACGCCTTGCCCTGCGCCCCTCGCAGCGCCTGCTCACGCCCATCCGCTGGAGCGATTCCGCCAAGGCCCCCGCGCCACCGCAGTCCGCCCCGCCCGCGGCGGGCGCGGGAAGCAGCAGCGAGGCACTGGCGGCGGCGAACCGGCGCGTGGCGGCGCTGAGCAAGGAGCTGGAGGGGGTGACGCGCGTGGCGGACGAGCAGGCGGCGACGCTGCAGCGCGCGGGGCAGCAGGTGGCGGAGCTGACGGGGCAGGTGGAGGCGCTTCAGCGCAAGGAGCGGCTGTACACGGAGGCGCTGGCGCAGGCCAACGAGCGCATGGAGCTGCTGGGGGAGCGCATGCGCGCGGTGGAGCAGCAGGGGCGCGAGGAGAAGGAGCGCCTGGAGGGGGAGGTGCGCTCGCTGCGCGCGCGCATGGAGGCGGACGAGCAGCGCGGCGGGCGCGCGGCGACGGTGATCCAGGGGCTGCGCATGGAGCTGCAGGCCGCAAAGGATGAGGTTAAGGAGCAGTGGGCAGCCGTCGCGCGCGCGGAGAAGAGCATCGGCGCGCTCAGCGCGCGCGTGAAGGAGGAGGAGCAGCGCGCGCAGCGCGCGGAGGCGGCGGCGCTGGCCGCGGAGGAGGACAAGCGGCGCGCGCTGCGGGAGCTGGAGGGGGCCAAGGGCGAGAGCGTGAGCGAGTCGCAAGACGCGCGCGAGCGCATGTCGGCGCTTGGCGCGCAGGTGCAGCAGCTGAGCGAGCGGCTCAAGGCGGCGACGAGCGTGGCGGAGAAGGCAACGGGGCGCGCGGACGTGCTGGAGAAGCAGGTGGCGCAGCTGGAGGCGCGCGCGCGCAAGGCGGAGGAGCAGGAGGCGGTATCCGCGCGCGCAGCGGGGCTGCTGACGGAGCAGGTGAAGGCGCTGGAGGGCAGCGCGGCGGAGGCGGGCGCGCGCGTGGGGCAGCTGAGCGGGGAGCTGGAGCGGCTGCGCATGCGCGAGGCGGAGCGCGCGGCGGAGGGCGTGGCGAGCGGGGAGCGCGCGAAGCAGCTGATGGCGCTGGTGAAGGAGCTGTCGGAGAAGGAGGCGCGGCAGCGCGCGCGCACGGAGCAGGTGGAGGCGCAGCTGACGGCGCTGCGCAACCAGGACTCGGAGCTGGCCTCACGCGCTGCTGTGTTCTCCGCCCAAATGGAGGAGATGGCCCGCCAGGTATGGGGAGACCAGGAGGGGTGGGGGGCGGGCAGGAGGGACGGGGGGGGGAGCACGAGGGATGGGGGTGCCTTGGGGGAAGTTGGGGGAAGGATAGCCATGGCGCATAGGGGAAGTGGTTGCATGGCGCATAGGGGAAGTGGTTGCATGGCGCATAGGACGTGGTTGCATGGCGCATAGGACGTGGTTGCATGGCGCATAGGACATGGTTGCATGGCGCATAGGACGTGGTTGCATGGCGCATAGGACGTGGTTGCATGGCGCATAGGACGTGGTTGCATGGCGCATAGGACGTGGTTGCATGGCGGTATGACAGAGGAGGCAAGGGTTCTCTGGGACTTGACATTTCCCCCCTGCCTCCCCCTCCCTCTGGTCCTGTTCCCCTCCTCGCTCCATGCGACGTGTGGTGCGTGTGGTGCGTGTGGTGGTGGCAGCTGGCGCGGCTGAATGCGGAGCTGGCGTTTGCGGAGGGGCGCGAGGGCGAGGTGCAGGAGGCGTGGCGCGCGCAGCTGGGGGCAGCGAGCGACGTGATGGGCGCCATGGGACCCGAGGCGGCAGCACTGGCGGCAGAGAGGGGCGTGGAGATGGAGATGGAGCAGGCTGAGGGGCAGCCGGGCGAGCTGCTCAGGCAAGTGCCTGCCCTGCCACGCCCCTGCTAGGGGGTGCTGCCCGGTGTGCTGTGCTGCCCTCACCTCTCATCCCTCACATTTCATCCCTCACCTCTCATCCCTCACATTTCATCCCTCACCTCTCATCCCTCTCATTTCATCCCTCACCTCTCATCCCTCACCTCTCATATCTCGTCCTATCATGAAGCACTTGCCCTTGGCTCGTGCCATGTGCTGCTGCTCATCTCACGTGCCTCACTGTCTCTGCCCCACCCCCTTGCTGCTTCATGCCGTGTGCCCTCCCTGCTGCATGTGCGCACTACAGGGTGTTGATGCAGCGGGTGAGCTGTGAGGCGGCGGTGGTGAGGGAGCGCAGTGCACGGCTGATAGAGGAGACGCACCACATGCGCCAGCAGCTTGACGAAGCGCGCAACCAGGTGCCGCCCTGCTGCTCACCCTGCTGCTCACCCTGCCCACTCCGCCCTGCTGCTCACCCTGCCCACTCCGCCCTGCTGCTCACACCATGTGCTGCTCACACCACGTGCTGCTCACACCATGTGCTGCTCACACCATGTGCTGCTCACACCATGTGCTGCTCACACCATGTGCTGCTCACACCATGTGCTGCTCACACCATGTGCTGCTCACACCATGTGCTGCTCACTCCGCTTCTTTCCCGGATCCACTTGTCCACGCGCACCTCTGCATGGCCACACGCACCTCTGCATGGCCACACGCACCTCTGCATGGCCACACCCTGACCGTACTATGCTCCTCATGCTCATGTGTGTGTTCCTGTGCGTGTGTGTGTGTGTGTGTGTGTGTGTGCGCGCGTGTGTGTGTGTGTGTTCCTGTGCGTGTGTGCGTGGGCATGACACGGGGGAGAGCAGGTGCAGGAGAGGCCGGCAGAGGGGTCGGAGGGAGCAGCAGCACGGCTGAGGGAGTACGTGGAGGCAGCGGAGGCGATGGCGGTGGAGCAGAAGCAGAAGCTGGTGGACCGCGTGCACTCGCTGCAGTGGCTGCTGGGCGCCACCATTGCCCTGGCCGTCATCATCCCCGCCACCGCCTTCTATTCCTTCTTCACCGATGACTCACACGCCACCCAGGTATTGCCTCCCTTGCATCAGAACTCGGTGTGCCTCCCATCCCATGTGACAAAAGTAGTGATTTGAGACGTCGCAAAACGCTGCAGCACCTGCGGAATGGAGTAGATATCACCCATGTGATGCATGGCAGTACTGGTGACGTGGGTGCATGTGTAGAGACTCAAATGTGCCCCGTGTGCCTGTGCCCCCCGTGCTGCTCCATGGCAGGTGGAGATGCTACGGTCGCGCCTGGCAGCAGCAACGAGCGGGCGGCAGGAGCTGGAGAGTGCAGCAGTGAAGGCGGAGGCGAGCAAGCGGGCAGCAATGAGTGCAGTGCAGACGCTGGAGGAGGTGGTGGAGGCGCAGCGCGGGTCAGTGGAGCGCCTGCAGGCACTCATTCCGCTCGTGGCACCCTCCATCCAGTCAGAGCAGGCGGCTCGCTTCTGTGCCAACGTGCCGGTGGAGTACCAGTCTCCCGTCACCCAGCGCTTCTGCTCCGATATCGTGCCCCCTTCTGATGCTGCACCGCCCACTACCGCACAGGACACCTCCTGACCCACCACATCAGCTGATGTTGATAATTAAAATGTCTCCCATGGATGTGCTTTGTACTGTATGTTGTGTAGATTTTACCAGCACCGTATGTGTGCAGCTTTTATTGCAGAATTTTGCATGAAATGCTGCATCCTCTGACGTGGAGGAATGAAGCAGCAATGGTACGTCAACAAGTTGTGCAATACTCGCATAATTAAGAGAATTGCGAGCATGCCGGGTGTGCCAGCAGCATGCGGTCACATGCTGGGACATACTATGTACAAACTGATCCAGTGTTGCGATTATCTCGACTTGTCGCCGCTTTCTGCTCGCTTCATTGCATCCATCAACACAACACTTGCCCAGCTGTATGCTTCGCCCTGTCAATGCACACAGTAACATGCAACACAGAAACAAGCACGAGCATGCATTTGGAGTCGAAATTGCAAAACCACTCATCTATCCCACAACACCCATCAAAGCCTAACTTCCATTCCCGCATACGGTACATGCGCACACGGTACATGCGCATACGGTACATGCGCACACGGTACATGCGCACACGGTACATGCGCACACGGTACATGCGCACACGGTACATGCGCACACGGTTCATGCGCACACGGTACATGCGCACACGGTACATGCGCACATCCAAACCCGACCCGTTGTCAACGGAACGGATACAACCGAGCCTAAACCGCACATCCGTGGTGCTCATGTCCGCACGTCCGTGGTGCTCATGTCCGCACGTCCGTGGTGCTCATGTCCGCACGTCCGTGGTGCTCATGTCCGCACGTCCGTGGTGCTCATGTCCGCACGTCTGTGGTGCTCATGTCCGCACGTCCGTGGTGCTCATGTCCGCACGTCCGTGGTGCTCATGTCCGCACGTCCGTGGTGCTCATGTCCGCACGTCCGTGGTGCTCATGTCCGCACGTCCGTGGTGCTCATGTCCGCACCTCCTGTCAGATCTCACATACCATGGACGGCTGCTGTGATCAAACCTACACTTCATGGATGGCCATGATCAAACCCCACCTACCACAGACGGCCATGATCAAACCCCACCTACCACAGACGGCCATGATCAAACCCCACCTACCACAGACGGCCATGATCAAACCCCACCTACCACAGACGGTCATGATCAAACCCCACATACCATGGACGACCATAATCAAACCCCACACACCATGGACGGCCATGATCAAACCCCACCCACCATGGGCGGCCATGATCCCGTGCGGATGCGTGCCCCTGAGCGAGTCAATGCGCTCTCATAGGGCGTCTGAGGCCGCGCCGCTTTCACCGCATCCCACTCCTCCCGACTCAGCGCCTCCAGTTCCTCCTGCTCCTCTGCAAATCGCCTCGCCCGCCGCGCGACTCTCTCTGTCTCCTTTGACTCGTCATACTGACGCCCACGAGGGTCAGGGGAGGGGAGAGGAGGGGAAGAGAGGGGAGGGGAGGGGAGGGGAGGGAAAATGCAAAGTTGTAGGTGAAATGGCTTGCCTCGACACTCTCTCCGCCTCCTTGGATTCGTCGTACTGATGGCCTCACAGGGTCAGGGGGAGGGGAGAGGAGGGGAGGGGAAGACGCAAAGTGATAAGTGCAATGGCTTGCCATGCCACTCTCTCCATCTCCTTGGACTCATCATACGATAAGGGGCAGAGGGGAGCCGTTATGGCACAGGGTCAGACGTTAAGGCGCAGAGGGGAGGGGAGGAATAGGGGGTGAGGGATGGGAGAGGAGAAGATGCGCAGTGGCAGGTGGAAGGTCTCGCTGTACCATTCGATTTGTGGGTTGAGACATGGGACGAGGTGGGGAGAGAGATGAGTGGTAAAGGTGAGGGAGAAGAGCAGCAGAGAGGTGCCTCACGGTGGAGCAGCAGAGAGGTGCCTGTGTGTGTTGTGACTGTGTGCGGACTGCCTCTGTGTGGTGTGACTGCATTGTGTGAACATCCGGGCACATTCCTTAACAGCATTTCCCAGTCTATGATCCAAATCCCTTCAGCAATATCACTCGCCACCACCCCACCTTAACCCACTCCCCATAACACTCCCCATACCACTCCCCATACCACTCCCCATACCACTCCCCATACCACTCCCCATACCACTCCCCATACCACTCCCCATACCACTCCCCATACCACTCCCTGTACCACTTCCCATACCACTTCCCCTACCACTCCCCATACCACTCCCCATACCACTCTCCATCGCATCCCACTCCGCACCGTGGCAACTTCACTCTCCACCACCACGGCCCATACCACTCCCCATCCCACCACGCACGAGCATGGCAGCACAGCCACCACCACCCACCATGCCTATGCCACTCATTCCCCATCCAACCCCTCATGCCCCTCCCCGTAGCACCCCTGCTTCACCATCCCCACGCACTCACGAGCATGGCCTGCACGGCCACCACCACCATGCACGCGCCCACTCACGCCCCATGCAGCGCCCATGCCCCTCCCCATGGCACCCCACGGCACTCACAAGCATGGCGAGCTTGGCGAGCACGGCCACCACCACCATGCCCACGCCCAGCTGCAGCGTCGTCGTCGGCGGTCGCACCTCCCTCGCCTGCTGCACCACTCGCGCTGTGCCTCGCGCCATCACACCCCCCCTCTGCTCCCCCTCTACCCCCCCTGCCCTGCTTGCGTCTCGCCTTGCCTGCCGCCTCACCGCTCCCCCGCGCTTGGCCTGGCAGTCGCGATGGATCAAGGGGCGAGGGACGAAGGCATGAAGGGGAGTGCACGCGGCAATGACAGGGAGTGAACGGTGCAAGGGAGGGAAAGGAAGGGGGATAGGAGAGCTACGTGTGGAGCATCCATCCGCCCATTCCCCTCTCGACCCGCCTGTGCGTTCCTTACCTGCCCTCGACGCGGAACGCGATGTGGCGCGAGTGAGGCGCGAGGCGCGATGTGAGAGGCGAAAGGCGAGCAGGGCTTGAGGTGCCCCGCGGCTACGCGTGCGGCGAGGCACACGGCGAGCAATTCGCGCGACGTGCGGAGAAAGGAGAAGGGGGCGCGGAGAGCGCAAACACGGCGCGGAGCCCCCCGGAAAACTAGAGCGGCGCGGGAAATGTGAGGGAGCAGGGGTTGAGGCGTGAGGGCCGGCAATGTTCTTCAACAGGGTGGTACTGAACTCACACAATTCGTGTGGGAAAAACGGAGGTTATAGGAAATTGAGTCAGGAATCAACATATCCTTACTTCGCGTCACCCTACATGCTCACAACAGTGTACACCCGTTCATGACTATTTCCATCCCGTCATCAAATCGCTGAGAATCTGCCGGGCCCTGTTTGGCATCATGGCCATTATGGCCACAATGGGCATTTCTAACGGGCCCCCAAAAAATGCCGACTGGGCATTTCGAGAAACAGCATCGAAATCGGATTGTAGATGCAGTGCCCATTCGGAAAAACGGGGTGGAGTGTTTGGTTGGCATTATTTGGGTGTAGATTGATGGCATCTATCTAGATTTCGGGTTTTGATGAAGATGGTAAGCAGTTGCCATGATGGTTCGCGTGATCATGTGATTGGCTGGCATATTTGACCAGTCACTTTTGATTGCCCCGAATCACTGATACCCCGCTTAGTGCGAGGCCTCGAGGCCGCATGGTGCGGGGATCAGAAAATGGGCACTTTGCCAGAGAAACTCGTTTGGGTGTAGATTCAGGCGGTTGAAAACGCCTGCAAAAAAAGGGGTGTTTGGTTGGCATTCCATTACTGTCAGGCTCGGCGTATTCCGCTTATATCGAGCCTTGATAACCTTTAACGCGCTTATCAAGAAAGGTTCCAGGGTGGTCGGTTCACTGTAGCCCATCCCCCTCGCCCGTTTTTTTTAATGCCTGTCAAAATGGGCCCCGGTGAGGGTCGCCTGCCTCTCGAACAGCTCCGGCACTTCGGAAATGTAATACAGGAGGGGGAACAAACCTCGCGCCTTCCTACTCAGGCAACCCAAGCCCATCCCCCCTGCGCCCAGCCCAAACAATGGGATGACGAAGGAATGGCCTCGGGATTGGGTAGGGGGTAAAACCAAAACAAGAGGCGACAAAGTCGACCAAGGGTTGCGAAGCGATTTTCATACATTCTTAGAATTTTATAACTTTCAGTAAGTAGCATGAAACTAAATGGAACAATTCTTGTTTATGTTCTAAAAACATGCCAGCAGGAATCGACCTGGTGTTACGAGTGCAATTGAGTGAACGAACGAGAATTGCACTATCGAAGCAAGAGTCCAATGAGCGAAGGTATGAGTGAAGAATAACTACAGTGGTAACAGTAATGGACTGTGGTTGTCGCGCGACGGGCCTATGACTGAGGTTGGGGAAAATGTCGAAGTGGAGGCCCGGAGCGCGGGTTACCTGCCGAGCCGTGAGGTCGGTGTCAGAATCAGCAGTAAAAAGTAAGAATGAAGAAAGAGGGGTTCACTAGCAAGCACTTGGATACAAATAGCAAACCCTAACTGGGTTGTACTCGCTATGGAGCACCCCACTGCAGGCTAGATAACAAAACATTCTGACACACCCCCATAGCCAAAGTGGGGTGTAATCAGCACAGTAAGCAAAGCAGAACAAGCTCAGGGTGGATCACAATGTCACCACACATTCTGAGCACAATTACAAGAACCAACAGTTTAAAGTTCACACTTATGAGCAAAGCTAGTGGTAGTCACAACGGGCAAGTGAGGAGGAGGAGGGACTGTGAGAGGAGAGAAGATGGGAGACGACGGCTGAAGCTGCAGACACACGGGCTACAGGAGCGGCTGGCACAGTGGCTACCGGGACAGCGCCCCGGACTACTGGAGTAACTGGCTCACGGGCTACGACGAGCTACAGGAGCAACGGACCCACGGGCGACAGGCGCAGCAGGCTCTCTGAGCTACCAGGACAGCGCCCCGGACTACAGGTGCTGCGGACGACAAGACGGCAGCCTCCTCTCAGCCTCCCCAAGCAGTCCCACACCCCCCCACACACACCCCCAGTTTCACCCCTAGCTCCACTCCCAAG